TATATATATATATATATATATATATATATATATTAAACATGCATGCACCATTTAAATTTCACATTTAAAAAAATAGACACCAAAAAAATAGAACCAAAACATTGAAAATTTGTGGAAAATGTACTCACCCCTCCCAAGATGTAGATGACATTGTTTATTCATCAGAACAGATTTCGATAAATGTAGCATTACATCACTTGCTCACCAATTCAGTGAATGGGTGCCGTCAGAATGAGTGCAAACAGTTGATAAAACATCACAATTATCTACATGTAATCCACATGACTCCAGTCCATCAGTTAATGTCTTATAACGTGAACAACTGCATGTTTGTAATGAAAATATGTTTTTAACCTTATAATATTGCCTTCACCAATAAAACACAGTTCTAAATTAACATGTCAGTGGGTTTTGATGTGATAGGACAAAAGAGGAAGGACTTTTTACTGAAGGTAGCGTTATTATGATTTATGCTATTTTGGCCAAAGCGGCAGTTTAATATTTAGAATGCCTTTATTAATTTGTTAAACACAGTTTTTCACTTCACAAGACATTAACTGATGGACTGGAGTGGTGTGGATTACTCATGGGTTATTGTGCTGTTTTTATCAGCTGTTTGGACTCTCATTCTGACGGCACCCATTCACTGCAGAGGATCCATTGGTGAGCAAGTGATGCAATGCTACATTTCTCAAGATCTGTTCTGATAAAGAAACAAACTCATCTACATCTACGTGGCCTGAGGGTGAGTACATTTTCTGCACATTTTCATTTTTGGGTGAACAATTCTTTTAAATATTTTCCACCTGTACATGTTTTCATACCAAATAGATTTTAGTTGCAGTTTGAAGAGAGTAAAACAGGTGCACAATAAAAGGACTTTTACTGAGAGCGAGAGCATCTCTCTCAGCTTTCATCAATAATTATTCATTCTGATTGGTCCATCCTCAACAGCGCTGAGAAAAATAACACGTCACATGCTGCAGCAGCTGTTTGGTTAATAATCTAAAACTATTACACTGATCAATATTAATTTACAATTTATGAGCTGGTTATTATATCAAAGTGTAGCTTTTTAAAATCTTAGATGTGGCTATGGAATAAATGTATGCAAGAAAGAAAAGAACATTTCGGTCATATTTTCAATGGTAGGCTATTTGGTAGGCTATTTTTGTTTTCAATATTCTGTTGATCGAAGTAAGGACAACATGAGTAGGGCCTACTATTACGACTTTCACAGTTAGCTTTACAAAGTCTGCTTGCTTGATTGATATTGTATACCCTGATTCTGGTTTAGCTATGTTGTCCCCTCCTTGGAACTTTTTGTTTTTCTCTCTTTTCTTTTTTGATTTTTCTGTTTTTATCTTTGTATTTATAATGTTCAGTATCAGCATTTGAATGTTTCTGAATATGAATTTAAATGTTTATTCAATTAAAAGGTGAATAGTGGAATATTTTCAAACTTATAGGCTACACATTAGGCTACATTTCTTAAAGGGGTCATAGGATGAACTACATGCACTTTTCCAAGTTGTTTGAACTGAAATGTGTGTTGGCAGTGTGTGTACACAACCACCCTATAATGATACAAATCCACCCAGTGTTTTTTTTTTATCTCGTTAAATCTTTCCCCCTTTCTCAATTCGAGCCGATCTCAGATGCCTGTCTACAAAAACGGCTTGATCTGAAAAGAGCTGTTTTTGACAGGGTAAAAAAGGTGTTTTTTACACTACCATTGAGCAATTTTAACCAAACTATGTTACAGACTTTTCATTAAGACCCCAAAGAATCATATCAACTTGTGGAAAATGGGCATCCTATGACCCCTTTAAATTATAAACCTTGCAACACACATATTATATTGCACACCTAAATAATCTGTAAAGTTTGAATGAAGTCTGTACAAAAAGTTTTTGAGTTTAATCAATTGCGGAAAATTACACAGGCGAACAAAAAAAAAAAGAGCCAATGCATTTATGAGCAGTCTGCTCAAAAGTTATCAAAGATTGATAATTTTATATGAGCAACTATTATAAAAACTAACTAGTGATATATTGAAAGATTTGAATAGACAAACGTAAATGTAAATAATAAATTATGTAATTGCACCATTAAAGCCGGCGCTTTAATGGTGCAATTAAAGGTGGCGCTGTTATAGTTAATGCCAATCATTTCTGTTGTACAATGAAATTAGTGGATATATGTTGTAAAGTGTGAAATAAATTTTCATTAAAATAAAATAATAAAAAAATTATTGTATGGAAAATTTTAATATTGCGTTACCCATATGTACTTGATTTTTAAAACTTTATTTATGGTTATTATTTTTTTAATTAATTGTTTTATCCTGAGATGGGGTAAATTAATCCCCTCTCTTCTTTTTCCCCTCTCTCTCTCTCGCTCTCTCTCTCTCTTTCTGCATGACTTTGATCACAGGTTTGGAAAAAGGCAGCTGTCGTGTTGCTCCCTCCTACAGAGCAGAACAAACGCTATATTCATCTGCCCCTGAAACTCCCCCAAGCAACTTCAGGACAGACGGAGCCCAATAATATCATTAATGCAGCTGGACGCAGACACACACACTGTCTGATCCGATCCACTGTCAGTTCTTACAATGTGGAAGATCTGTGGTGTCCTGATCGCCTGGGCTCTGCTGCTCATGCTGCATGTGCGAGCTCAGACTCAAAACAGGTACGTTTCTTCAGTCGTTTCTTTCAGCCACTGAAAGCTCATGTATGATTGATCACACAGCGAGCGGCGCACTGAATCTCATAATTCCTGATTTGAGGAATTTGAAGCTCTGTTGCAGAAATGAATGCTGCATCGATGCATGCTGGTGTTTATTTTTTCTTTCTCTTGTTTAGACAGACCTTCACCTGTGGTGGGAATATCACAAGAGAGTCGGGTGTTATTGGTAGTCAGGGTTATCCGGGCGTCTATCCGCCGAATACCAAATGTGTGTGGAGAATTACAGTAAGTATGAAGAGACTCAAACTGATTTATCATGTATTCAGGTAAATGAAATGCGACTGTAAATGACGTTTTGGCTCTAATAGATAAAACCATATGTACATTTTCTGAAAGAAAATCAGTGCCTGGTAAAGAATAGTGTTAAAGTTGTAATTTAGTTTTAGGGTCTGTTTCTGTGAAAATTAAATACTGCAGCAAGAATAAAACAGAATAGGTTGTTGTCATGTAAAATTAAATAGATTCAAGAAAGAAAACACCAATCAGATGTCAGAACTAACCAATAATCGTGCAAATGTAGTGACATGATCGCTGTAGGTTCGATTTTGAGTGGGGAAACGATGGCAAAGTAATGGCAATGAATACAAACAAAAACACATGAGCATGTCATACCAGGTACCAGATTTTTTCAAGTTGAATAGAAACTATCAAGTCTAACATTTGTGGATATTTATTTGTTTTTAATCCACAATCCCACCCATTTTGGTACACTGTTTCTGTGGGTTGTTATTTAGTCCACTATAGGGTTAGATCTCTGCCACAATTCTGCGTGCGAAAGATCATATTTTGAGCGCACAAAAGTGCATTTTGCACGCGCGCGATCTGAGTTTTGTGGAGAAAATGTTCGTTT